TTCCGGGTAAAGCTTTTTATTTTGATTTGAACAGAGCTGGAAAGGGTTAACTCATCTGCCCTTTTTTTTTTTGATAACTTGTTTCCCTTTGAGATTTCCCCTTATTTCCTGTCAGGACAGCTAGTGATGATAAATTACTCCAAAAGGGATACAGAAAAAACACAAATACAAGTTAACTAGAGTGGAGACGTGTTAGAACTGAGTGTTTCATTGCTGTCCATGCTTTCCTGGTGACACTTGCTCCTTCCATTTCTTGTATGACAGAGCCCCCCACAGATCCTGCACAGCCTTCTTGAGGCCCTGCAGTCTGCGGTGTCTCAGCGGGCTCTGCAAGATCTGTGGTGGGCCTTGCAGGCTGCAGAGCTCCCCCCAGAACCTGCAAACCCCCCACAGATCCCGCAGAGACCCCCTAAGACCCTGCATTCTGCCAGATATCAGGGGGGCTGGGCAGGATCTGTGGTGGGCTTTGCAGGCTGCAGATCCCCCTACGGATCCAGCAGAGCCCCCCACAGATCCTGAAAATCCCCCACAGATCCTGCAAAAAACCCCTGCAGTCTGCCAGATCTCAGGGGGGCTGTGCAGTATCTGAGGGGGCTTTTCAGGCTCCAGAGCCCCCTACAGATCCTGCAAAGCCCCCCACAGATCCTGCAAAGCCCCCCACAGATCCTGCTGAGACCCTGCAGTCTGCTGGATCTCAGGGGGGCTGTGCAAGATCTGTGGTGGTCTTTGCAGGCTGCAGAGCCCCCTATGGATCCTGCAAAGCTCCCCCCCAGATCCTGCAAAGCCCACCAAAAGGTATTGCACAGCCCACCTGTGACTCTTTGGTGGGCTGTGCAGAATCTATGCTGGGCCCTGCCAGCACAGTCCTCCTACCTGGAACGGGAAACCCAGCCTCCTCTGCTGCCTCGGCGCCCAATCGTCTCAGCTTCGCCGCCCGACTGGTCCCTTGGCGACGCATCCTCCATCGCGGTCTCTGCCTTTGCCTCCTCCGTCTTCACAGGCCTCTCCCATCCCCGCCCCATTTCTCCTGTCTCCGCCCCCTGCCTCATTCCACTCAGTCCCCCGTCTCCTACCTGCCTCTTCCGTCTCCGCCCCAATCTCCCTCTGTCTCCACCCCTTGCCTCTCTGTCTCCTCCTGCTCACCCGCCCGTCGCTTTCTGCCCATTGACATTAGGCAGCTCGGCTGCCTAAATGTTTTGGGGGGCAGCAAAAATGCCACCCCCCTGGAAATTCTGCCGCCCGAGGCAAACGCCTTGTTTGCCTTGCGGCAGATACGCCCCTGGTCACCCCTCTGTCAATCTCTGCACTGGCTTCCTGTTTCTTTTAGGATACACTTCAAACTTCTCAGCCTTATCTAAAAAGCTCTACATAACCGTGCACCAGCTTACCTTTCATCCCTAATTAGAAGATATACTTCAAATTAGCGCCTTCATTCTACTAATGACCTGAGACTATCCTGCTCACTCACCCGCACACCCAACTCTCATCTACAGGACCTCACCAGGGCTGCCCCACCTTATGGAATTTTCTCCCACGCCACATCAGGCTCTTACCATCCCTACAAGACTGTTTCTTACTTGTCTTGTCTAAGCCATTGTACAGCGATGTGAACACATTGTACAGCAACCTGTGAACACAAAGAGAGTGGACCCATCTGCAGGTAATAACAGCGGGTGCCTGTTTATTATTAAATGTTATTGTTATTACACAGCACTTTACTGTTTTCATTATACATTTATAAATGTGTATTTAGTACATCAAGGCTCCTACTTTATATTTATATATACATCACTTAAAATGTAAATCACTTTTAAATGTATATGTAAATCAGGGCTCCCTCCTTTTACATCAGGGCTCCTGCTTTCTGTCAAATATATGGAAGAAGGCACTCTGGTCAGATGAAGGCCAAAAACCTCAATTTTAGTCTCAAGAAAAAAGCTATGTCTGGCGTAAACCCAAGACCTCTCATCACCCCGAGAACACCATCCCCACAGTGAAGCATGGTGGTGGCAGCATCATGCTGTGGGGATATTTTTTTATCTGCAGGGACTGGCAAACTGGGTAGAATTAAGGGAATGATGGATGGCGCTAAATTCAGGGAAATTCTTTAGGGAAACCTGTTTCAGTCTGCCAGAGATTTGAGACTGGGATGGAGGTTCACCTTCCAGCAGGACAATGACCCTAAGCATACTACTATAGCAACAATCCAGTGGTTTAAGGGGAAACATTGAAATGTCTTGGAATGGCCTAGTCAAACTCTATCCAATTGAGAATCTGTGACATGGCTTAAGGAAACCCATCTAACTTAAAGGAGCTGGAGAAGTTTTGCCCTGAAAAATGGGCAAAAATCCCAGTGCCTAGATGTGCCAAGCTTATAGAGATGTACCCCAAGAAACTTGCAGCTCTAATTGCTGCAAATGGTGGCTCTGCAAAGTATTGCTTCTGGAGGGATGAATAGTTATGCACTCTTAAGTTTTCTGTTTTTTTGTCTTCTTTCTTTTTTTTTTTATCACAATAAAAAATATTTAGCATCTTCAAAGTGGTAGGCATGTTATGAAAAATCCATTTTAATTCCAGGTGGTAATGCAACAAAATAGGAAAAATGCAAAGGGGGTGAATACTTTTGCAAGCCACTGTATAAAGATCCTTGGGAAAGTTTGTCTTGGAGATTTGGAATGGAATAGTATATGTTGTTATCCAGAGGACGTCGAAAGCTAGGGAAGGGGTACATCTTCTAGCTGTTTTGTATTCCCTTCTTCTCCTCCATAAACGTTGTAGAGATTTGTCAAGTATGGACTGGCACTCTTGCAATGTATTTGCCAAAAGGCTGGTCTATGTGAAAACATTGTGAACGTTTATGTGGACTACTTAGAATGTTGTAGCACACTAAAACCCATTGGTGCTCACCTTTGGTCCTTAAAGGCCCCCAGAAAAGCATGCTTTCCCTTTTTCCAGCTACAATCACCCAACAACAGCCCACCTATAAAACCAGTAGAGGACCTTGAAGAAGATAATTGATCTCCGCTACTACAACCTATGAACATTCTCCTCTTTATGTCCATATTGATTTCCAGTTATCAGTGGAACCAATACATAACTATTATTGGGAATAGTAGGCTTGGTAATATAGACAAATACGAGCTGGTTTATATTCCCCATAGTTCCCGGCAATTTACAGGTTATGCATTAAAAAAATGCTTGTGCTATTTGATTATGTGGTGTCTTATTTATAGCTGTAAAGCTGTCTTGAAGACGAACATTACTAAGCATAATGTGTATCCAACATGGCCATATAACATAAACGTGTTTTAATTGTTTGAAAGCAACACTTTCTATGCAGAAGTATAATTAGGACCACAGTGCAGTAAAAAAAAAATGGTCACAAACAAATATACACAGATCTTACTTTCCATCTGTTAAGCTCAAGGAAGCAATGCAAGATTATTGCTGATAGGTGCTATGGTCTGCTACACTTTTATTTGTGTTATATTAGGGTAATCTGCGCTGTGTATTAGGGCACAGTACAAATTTGAATTTAAGTCTCCTGTATATCACTGTTTCCTCAGTAATTTGGAAAAGAAAGTTAGTAATGGTCTTATTATATATGGTATAAGGCCCACTTCCGGGTAAAGCTTTTTATTTTGATTTGAACAGAGCTGGAAAGGGTTAACTCATCTGCCCTTTTTTTTTTTGATAACTTGTTTCCCTTTGAGATTTCCCCTTATTTCCTGTCAGGACAGCTAGTGATGATAAATTACTCCAAAAGGGATACAGAAAAAACACAAATACAAGTTAACTAGAGTGGAGACGTGTTAGAACTGAGTGTTTCATTGCTGTCCATGCTTTCCTGGTGACACTTGCTCCTTCCATTTCTTGTATGGGCATGACAGGAACAGGAAGTAGTGAAAAAACTTACCTATGGAGTCAAAGACAATAATAAAAACCGGACAGAAACGTTACCTCTTCCCCACTCTATACAAATTGTTTTTTAAATTGGCCATAATTGGGCTTTCAATTTTGCATTTACCTTCTGTTGATTTTGGCCAAAGTTCAACACTATAATTTGAATTTCCATCTTCAGCTTAGACAAGTACAATAGTGTCTTAAACTTCTCCTCAGCAAATAATTGATGATCAAGTCTTACTCTCACAATCCAGTGAAGTAAAATGAAATCCCAAGTGGTAACTTGAATAATTTTTTATTAAAATTGTCAGGCATATAAATAGGAAGAGCTACTCCATCATGATTTTTTTAAAACTCAAAATCATATTAGAAATTCTGGTGCATTGTATAACAGGTGCAATATTACATAGTTTGATAAATACACATTAGAAGATAAAAATACACCTTCAAAATCAAAAGCTATACAAGGCCGATACAAAAATATACTCTTCAGTCTTTTAACAATAGGCAAGGACAGGAACAGTGCATTATAATATTGAGAAAAACCCTAATCTTTGGATATATTCAAGTTTAAAATTTAAATAGTTGGTTTCATAGTACTTAATATTGGCAGAACATTGTGTGTAAACCATGCAGGACTGCACATCACATCAGCTTATTCCCATAAAACTACCCTTCATTATGGTACAGACAAAAGCGGAACTGAACTTTTCCTGTAGTCCTCTACAATAAAACACCATTGGTAGTGAGAGTTGGCTCTGGTGCAGACACTACTCTGTATATTTTAATCAGGGTAGGATGAGAGTAAGGCTTATCCTTGAAGTACATCCTTATTTAGTATAGGGATTTCATCAATAACATAAAAAGAAAAGGTAAGATAAGGCAGCATGTTGTTCTTTTAGGACAGAGTTATAATTTAATAAATAATTTTGCATTTATTTCATACAGAAGCTGCACAGCCCCTAATTATATAGGGACACAATTACATATGCATTTCATTACACGTTGTAATTATTAGTCTGTTTGTTCTCTGGACATATCAGTTTTAAGAAACTGGTTATGAACTTCATAGAAAATTTTGAGTTTCACTGAGCTTTCTATTCATACTTGTGTACGCTTACTTCAGGCTTCATTTCTGGTCGTTTTATCTTGACCTAGGAAAATGTAAAGAAAATACATCAGAAATGTGATCCATTGTATATTAAGCATACAAAAGAAACAACAAAATTGGTAATTGCCATGCCTGGCAGAGCAACAGGTTTATTTTATTTCTGACACCCCAACAGCATATAGGCACCTTTCCTTCAATCCACCACTATTACATACAGCTGTTGAGTCAGAAGAAAATACCTGCTACTTCTGGATATGGAGGAGCATGTGACTCACTACATGTGACAGTGAGGGACCAATTACCAAGCACCAGTATTTCTTGAACCTGGACTTGTTCCAAGCATCAAAACATACATTCTTGATATTTTATCATTCCACTGTATAATTGTCAGTGCTTACTGCATGCACAAAAATTGATGTATATAGTAACCACAAAACATACCATTAAACTGACCATGAAAACATACTATGGCTAAACTGTTAATATTCCTACATCCAGTAAATTATGTTGGTTATGTTTTTAGCTGAAGCACTGGGATCTTAAGGAATGCTGAATTAAGTTTTATTTGCTTACAATGACATTACATCTGAATACAGCATTGTGCAGGAAAACATACTGTATGTATAGGAAAACTTCTTGTGTATCATAGATAAGCATGCATATAGAGAGTAACATTGCACTACACTACCATCTACAGCTCATAAGACATATCAGAGTCAGTAATACAATCAAAACATTGGACTATGCTGTTGCATTTCCAACAAATTAAACAAAAATGTCAATACACAAATAATAACATTCAAGTAAACTGATACATACCTCTGCCGTACTGTCTACTTTCTCTAAGTGTGGTTTCCAGTTAATCAAATTTGGTGTTGTATCTGTGTTTAAAGATGGGATCTCCTTATCTCCCAGTCTTGTAAAGGCTAGAAATTTAAATACAGAGAAAAGTTACATACCTTTCCCTACCTTTCAGTAGGTGTCACTAATAGCAATGCATTTTCAAATACAAATACAGTTAATTATTAATAAAGATATACTCACATGGAAGGAATGATGATTTCCAGTTAAATTGTGTTTGGTACAACCTGCATGAAAATAGAATACATATTTAGAATATCATACAGGACATGAATAAAGGCAGAAGGAATAAAAGTGTAACCATGAAGATATACTATAATATAATATAGAGAGTGCAGACAGTCACAGATAGAAAAAAAGAAAACACTGATGAGCGAATAAAGACATTTATGAGGCTGATTTGTCAAAGCAGAAAAGAGATCAGTGCAAGCTTGTGGTGCCTCCTTTTATGGCCATCTCACCTACTTTTTTCCAGGCAATTTAATGCTTGAGCATTTGCAGCAATTAAAATATCAGTTTTGGGTGAACTGGCCCTTTAAAACCAAGCCCTTTAACACACAAGAGCAGATTTGTTCAATTTATAGTATGGTAATTATAAGATATGCAGTAGATGTTTCACCTGTCAGAGTATTTGCTGTGTACTTGGAAACATGACTGCCATGTATATCAGCTACCCGCCGTATAATACATTTCTTCTTACAGGAGAATACCCAACACACAGTGATACAAAGCTTGTGTCTGCCCCATGGGGATTATTATGTAGTTTGCACAGCTATAGATATTAGTGGCAATAACACATTTTCCCTGTAATTCCATTCATTGTATGTTGCTTTCTTTACATTCTTTCTTTACAATTGTGATATCCAAGGGCATATAGAGCAGAAACTAATAGATTTGTCACTCACTCGTCTGTATCATCATAATCATTCTTGCTTTTCCTTTTGCGATAGAAATAGATTCCTAAGACTATGCCCAAGATCAGCAGGAACAGGAAGGCCAGAGATCCAAATAATATTCCAAAGAATGCATTAAGGTTCATTGAGAGATTTTCACAACGTTCACCAGAAGTGGTATAAATAGTAAATGGTTTACAGCTGAAATAAAAAATACAGAATATAGTGGGCATTATCGTACTGATATTTTAAAAAATGCTAAAGAAGCAGGATCTTGTGAGAAAAATCTATACTGAATATACCATATAAAAGCCAATTGGCTTCTTCAAAGCCGAAATATGTAAAATAATATGTGTAAAATAAGTAAAATCCTTCATCCAATAGAGTGGCAAAGAAATAAAGACAATTACAGATTTCAAAGTGGCCCAAACTTGCAATCCTTTGCTGTCACTTTTGCAGTTACACAAGTGACACAGCTACAGTAATCCACATAATCTTAGGTACTATGAGGTATTCTTATCAGTCACAACTGAGATCGTAACAAAACATGTCTCTGTGATTAGAATGGGCAATATGTGTGGAAGAGAGGAAAAATGGTGCTGAAGATGCTGGGGTATAGTATGAGGTGTGGTTAAGGAGCTGTTGCTGTAAGTAACGTTTTGGAGAAGATAACAACATAAGAACTGAATGTTTACCAACCTGCAGGTAGGATTGTCATCAACCACTTTACAAGTTCCATCATTCATACAGTATGAAGCACACTTGTAACCGCAGTCCAAAGTTTCATTATTCAGTTTGAAGCCCGGCTCACATGAGGCATACTTTGCTAGCTCATTAACATTCACTAAGCAAAAAAATAAGACTGATTAATTATAATATTACTTTATCAGATTTGTGTTGCTCTCCTAAAATATATTTTGAAAAAAACAAAATTCTTGGCATTTCCCCTGGGTCAGCTGAATGACACAATGTAACAACTGAAAAAACTTACACAGTTATTTTTTTAGTATATCATTGGATTACCAATCTAGTCTGCCTGTTGGACTGGAGATGAATGGTGTGGTGACTTAAGTGCTCTTTCTTAATGTAGCCATACAGTCAGGGCTGGACTAAGAGCATCATGGGCCTGGTGCTGAGAATTTTGGTGGGCCTTTTCATGGAAATGTCGATGGTCACGAGGGCCCTATTTCGCCTGTCCAGGCTGTGATTTGTAGTCTCTCTACAGCTTGGAGTCAGTGGTGGAGTTCCAGAGCCCAGCTGCAGGTGTGAGCCTGGTAGATCTACCACTGACTCCAAGCTGTAGAGGGACTACAAATCTCAGCAATACATTACACAGCAATGCAGAATACCGCCACCTACAGAGGACTGCAAATTCCAGTAATGCATTACACAACAATGCAGAATACCACCAACTATAGATGACTCCAAATCCCAGCAATACATCATAAAGCAATGCAGAAAGGCATTGGCTATAGAGGACTACAGATCCCAGCAATACATTGTTAAGCACTGCACAATAATACCATCAGCTATAGAGGAATACAAATCCCAGCAATACTTTATACAGCAATGCAGAATACTATGAAGCTACATACACTCTGTTGCTCCGGGTTCATGGCCTGATGTCTCCAGGGTCTCAGGAGGGCTGTGCAGGGTTTCAGGGGGGGCTGTGAAGGCTCTCAGGAGGCTGTTCAGGCTCTAAGGTAGCCAGTGCAGGCTCTCAGGGGGCCAGTGTGAGCTCTCTGGTGGTTAGTGCAGCTCTCAGGTGGCCAGTGTGAGCTATCAGGGGGCCAGTGCATCTCACTGGTGGTCGGTGAAGCTCTCAGGTGGTCAGTGCAGGCTCTGGGTGGTCAGTGCAGGCTCTGGGTGGTCAGTGCAGGCTCTGGGTGGTCAGTGCAGGCTTTGGGTGGTCAGTGTGGGCTCTGGGTGGTCAGTGCCACCTCCGTGTGGTCACTGCAGGCTCCTGGTGGTCAGTGCGGCCTCTGAGTGGTCATTGTGGGCTTTGGGTGGTCAGTGCTGGCTCCAGGTGGTCAGTGCGGCCTCCGCGTGGCCAGTGCAGGCTCTGGGTGGTCAGTGCAGGCTTCGAGTGGTCAATGTGGGCTCCAGGTGGTCAGTGCAGGCTTTGGGTAGTCAGCGCTGGCTCCGGGTGGTCAATGCGGGCTCTAAGTGGTCAGTATGGGCTCAGGGTGGTCAGTGTGGGCTCACCAGGTATGCCAGGAGTGACTGGGTGCTGCTCTCTATTTAGGCCCACCACAGATCCTGCAAAGCCCCCCTGAGACCCTGAAGAGCCCCTTACAGATCCTGCAGACTGCCGCCCACCATAGACCCCACAGAGTCCACCACAGATCCTGCATAGTTCACCTGAGACTCTCAGGTAGACTGTGCAGAATCCATGCTGGGCTCTGCAGCAGGGTCCCTTTAGCAGCAATGTGATCCTCTTACCTGCTGCTTGGTCCCCGGCCACCTCCCCCAATGGACTGGTGCTGCAGGACCCGGCCTCCTCCACAGCCCAACTGCTCTACGGTGAACCGGCTTCCAGCGACGTGACGACGCCCTGGCCCCACCCCTTCCTGATCCGACGTTGCTTTGTCGCCCTGGCCTCGCCCCGCCCCCTCCTGCTGCTCCACCTGGCCCCCTCCTGCTGCTCCGCCTCCTCTGCCTCTTCCACCTCCTCCAACGCTGCCTCCTCTGGCTCCTATCACCTCTTCACCAACTTATCTGTGTCTTCCGACTCCTCCACCGCCGCCTCTGCCCGGCTGCCTAACTACCACCCCCAAAAAAATTGGCGCCCAAGGCACACGCCTTGTTTGCCTCGCGGCAGATCCGCCCCTGATTCAGGCATTTTAGAAGGCGGCTCCCTGGGGCCTAGTGAGGAGCGAGCGGCCTTCATGTGTTATTATTTTGCTTCAAGTTGAAAAACAAAACAAAGGATTTGGCTACTGTAGAGATACATATGCTCCAGAGGTAAGATCACATTAATTAAACAGCTAAGATCATTTTGGACCCAACACATGGTAAGAGTCAGTAGTTTCAAACACTAAACTAGCTTCAAAAAAGGATTAATGAATATGCATGTA